GTTTCTAGTCGCCGACGATTGTGATACATGGCCACGCATTCAATGGTCATGATAAAGCTTGATGCGACAGTGTGACAGAGGAAGACTTTTTAAATAGATCATTGCTTGCCCTGTTGTTTAACACAACGTTCTGCTCTAACTCATTACTATTGTCTGTCTTCGTTTCTTTTTGTTTCGCTTTCTCTGTTGTTTAAGACGACGTTCTGCTCTAACTCATCACTATTGTCTTCCTTCCCGTCCTTTTATATGGCTTGCTCTGTTGTTTAACACAACGTTCTTTGTTTTCATCTTGCTTTGTTGTTTCCTTCTCTTCTCCTGTTCTCCACCTCAAAGTGTCGGCTTCTCGCATCCCTCTACTTTCCACCCAAAAAACCAGAACCTTTCACTTTGACTCTTAGTTGCCTCTTTGTTCATAGCTATAACAAATGGAGAAAGCCGCCATTTCCAATTTCTCACCATTCTCATTATTTCCCTTGCTCACATCGTTTTCTGATATATTCTTCTAGCTTTTTTCATTTTTGGTCTGCTTCCTTTTGTCTCTGTTCTTCTGTGATTTGCTTTACTTGTCTGTTGAATAAAAAGAATGGAAGGTTGTGCTATTGGTGCCTGTGCCAATGTTTGTTCGGAGGCTGCGAAAGGCATCTTTCAAGAAATTAAACGTCATATGAGGTACGTATTCGTCTACAAGAAAAATGTTGACAAGTTCGAGGGGAAAATGAAGTCATTCATAGCAAAAAGACAAAGTGTGCAGCTAGAGGTTGAGACTGCAGAAAGGAATGTGCAGAAGATAAAATCGGACGTCAAGCTTTGGTGCGATAGGGTGGACAAGGCAATCAATGAAGATGTGAAGAAAGTGAATGATCTTGAAGACAAAGCAAAGAACAAGTGCTTCTTAGACTTGTATCCTAATATCAAGTCTCACTACCAGCTTAGCAAGAAAGCAGAAGGTGGATTTGACAAAGTGGGATACCGTGATGTTCCAGAAGCCCCAGAGGCTCCTAAAAATTTTAGGGCTTTCGATTCAAGAAAGGAAGGTTTTTTGACCGAGTTATAGAGGCATTGAAAGATTCTTCTACCAGCATGATAGGGGTTTACGGGACTGGTGGTGTGGGCAAAACCACACTAGTCAACGAAGTTGCCAGACGAGTCCAAGAGGATAATTTATTTGGTTGGGTGGCTAAAGCAACTGTAACTCGGACTCCTAACATTGAGAAAATCCAAGACGAAATTGCAGAGTCATTGAGATTAGAATTAAAAGAAAAGAGTATACAAGAGAGAGCACGGTTGTTGTTGGCAAGGTTGAAGCAAGAGAAGAAGAAGATTCTCGTTGTTTTAGATGATATTTGGGCGAGACTAGATCTAGAGCAAGTCGGAATTCCTTCTGGAG